CCTTTTTGTACGTTTATCCGTAGGACGAAGAAAATCTAATCGTGTTTCAATGCGTTAGGACGGAATTGAAACTCGTAGAACGAATTTAGAATCAAGAAGCAGTATTAGATTTTAAACAATGAATCAATGAATGAATCAAAGAATCAAGAAGCAGTATTAGATTTTAAACAATATCTCAACAGTTTGTAACTCTTTATCAAATCCAACGGTACGTATGGAAATGAATTTAGAAGTCATCTTTGACAGAAATATTCCATTTTTTGTTTAAACTCGTTCAGAAAAGAGAGGTAAAGCGCGAGTTGTGCTTAGTAGGACGGAAATTAGATAAAAAACCCTACGTGCCAGGTCTGAAAAGAACTTTTTTGAACCTGGAAGCGTGTATGTAATACCAATTTCAATGAGACGGGTGGAAACGGGGCTTCCAAAGTTTTTAGGGTTTTACGTCCCGGGGATGACACCACGATAGAGTCATTAAGCATAATCTCACAAGCGATTTCGTTGGCAATACTCGGTAACGAAGCATTAGAGTGTAATTGACAGATTCCATGATGCGCTAATGGTTGTTGTCTTAACGAAGGAGCCGTGCTGGAAGGTGGAAAACCATCAGGGTCAGGAATGGAACGGTAATGTGAATACTTGCCTAACGGCGCCGGTGGTGTAGTGGTAAGCGTGATTACCTCTCACCCCAGCAATCCTGGGTTCAATCCCAGTCGGCGCCGCCGGGATGTTCTGAGGCATAACATCTCTGATCACGCCTTCCTTCGGATGGGAAGTAAAGCCGTTGGTCCCCGGTTCATGAGTTGATAGGTCGATAGGTAGGATCCAGGTGTGGGAGCTGCCTTCCTGGTACGTCGGTAGCATTGGTGCTCAGCACGGAAAACAAAATCGACGAAAAAAACAAACCAAAGAAAAAAAAAAAAAAAAAAATACTTGCCTGTACGTTCAGGCTGGAGGACCTCCCCAAGTAACACAATTTCATAGAATATTGTTGAGTAAACTTCTTTACAACCAAAACCAGTCATATAAAGGTTATATAAACAGTTATAGAACATGTGTGTTGCTCGGGTCGTCACCATCTCCGAACCCAGGACCAGGACGACTGTGAAGACGATGAACAGCTTCAAGCTCAACTGGTTCCGAGGGATCAAAGGCTTCCATAATGCTTAGTTGCATGCGTCCCGGTTCCCATGAAGAGTATGTGAACTTGATGATGTCGAAGACCAAAACAGAGCAGGTGTGATGTGTTGATGAGATCGTATGCAGCAGCTGAAACTCAGGTTTTTTTTCAGAAGAGGAATGCTCAGGATAGCATGTACACTTGCCTGAAATAGCAGGCTGGAAAATCCCGTCTCTTTCCCCGAACACAGGGCCGAGACGACTATGTTGACGCTGATCACCAGAAGGCGCGACTGTGTCGGGGAGATAGGGGCCCTCCAAACTGCTTTCTAAAATGCGTCCTGGTGATGATTCAAGTGTCGCTGCTGGTGTCCTGATGCCAGAGGCGCTGATTCGAAGAATCCCGACCAGAGCCTCCACCTTCAGCAGTAGCAGAGGTGATTCGAATTCTCGGAATCTAATTCCCTCGGGCCATGTTTCACACGAGAGCGCAGCAGTTCTGAGATGCTTAGGAACTCCAATTTTGAAGGAGATGAAATTCAGCCCTGCTAAATCCTTCCCCTTAGGCACTTGTTTCACCACTTTCGTTCCCATCATGAAATTTTATAATAATGTGCAAAACGTAGGAGTTTTAGAGAAATTTTCCTCTAATTGATTAAACCCTAATACCCTATTATATCCTTAAAAAAATGTTTGATATGAGAATTTTGAAATTCCCTGCAACAATACACCCTACCGGGAAACGTAAGATTCCAAAAACTACTGAAAAAGGTGATCTACTTATTTCAGTAACGAGCTCTACACTCGTTTCAGAAACTAATTTCACGATTAGTCTGAACTAGCAAAGATCCCCACCATCGCTGCTTCAATCGTCGGCATCAATTATTCACCAATAAACTGAAACAGTGCTCCGCTCTCGGGTAGCCCAATCGCGCCGTAGTCGGCTCCCTGCACATTCCCATTAACTCCGAAAGTGGCCACCTATTAGTACCAATCACTTCACACCCGGTTGAATCGCTTCAGCTTACTACTTGTCGTTGTCGTCGTCGTCATCGTCTTTGTCGGGTTGCGTAGGTCCTTCGCAATAACCATAAATAGTCCGTCTCGTATAAACGGGGGATAGCTGTACATACCTTTCCGCCTACCTTCAAGTACCATGCATGGTAGCAGCGACGGTCCCCGTACTACTCGTTGTTGGTTTGTAATAAAGGTGAGACTGGAGACTTCTTGTTCTATATTGCTACCGGGACCACTAGCTAGGGGAGGCCATCGTCAGTTTAAGAAAATGCTGACAAATAATGGCCTCCGTAGGGCTGCTGGGTCGTAAAATTGTGCGGGGGAAATGGTGGCAGCAGCAGTGGAAGGTATTTGAGGAAATGGTTCCCTTGATTGCAGCGAGCGAGGGAACCGACCGTAGCTTAAGTGTTATGGTGATGGGTGAAGAAGAAGAAGGAAGTCGAATCGAAAATGATAACGAGTGTAATTCTGGCGATAACAGCAATGATCGGCCATGATTACAGAATGACTTTGCTGGCCTGTAGTTTGTATAGGGAGGAACGATGGTAATTACAGTTTGGGACTTATCAAGATTTTGACACATCGAAAGCTGTGCTATCAAATCAAATCTGTGGGAACCCACTGATTAGTGCGGGGCCTATTTTCTGGAGCAGTCAAGCTTTTAATTTTCCAAAAACATGATAACTTACTTTTCCACCACCAGCAACAACAACAACAACAACAACAACAACAACATTAGGCAGTGTCAGAGGCTGACTGCCCTTCAATTAACTCTCGCATCGAGATGCAAGCGCGCGCGTGACCGCTCAAGTGAAGCCCACAAAATACCCAGAATAGGTGAAGGCATAAAAAGCTGCCACAATAAATCACCCAAAACCGATTCATAATTACTGTTATTGTAAGTCGTGCGCTCGTGCAGGGAGGAAACGGAGCCGAGGCAGATAGAGCGAGAGATGGTACACCCATCAGACCCGGAGGTGGTTCGATTATTGATTAGGTAGTTCTCCCATCGGCGAGCTGTCTCGGTTCGAAAATTTGAATTTGGGCTGTGGCTGGCGGAAGTTTTCCCAAAATTAACCGATGCGCAACGATCCGTTAAATATGGGAGCAAAGATGCGGGGATTGAGAGGTGTTTATTAGTACCTAACCTTTCTTTTGGAATGGCTTTGCTGGTTCAGGCAGTGGTTATTATGGGTTCGTGGACTTGCGGCGAAGCTTATGAAAATCGTAAATAAGAGCAGATCCAGTCAGGCATGGAACCCGGAAATGGGATCTAATTGGTAGGTACACCGACAGAGAAGGTGTGGAGGCTAATTGGAAACTCACGTTGACTTAGATTGTGAACGTTGCATTAGAAGAAATTGTTAGTCGCTGTATCATTTTCATCATAAAAATTTAAACTTTAAAATAAGTCTAATTTGCCGTACGACATCTTCTGACAATTCCGAATAACTGTTCTGGTTAACCGGTGTTTTCCACTCCATTTACATGTTTCCCAGATCTTATGAATAGCAAATCCAACGGGTTTCTACCTTGTACAGAGGAAGTCCCTCGCAAACCAACAACAAGAACAACAGAAACAAGGTTGCACTTTCTTCAACCTTCGCTCATAATCACCCAACCGAGGTGAGCCCAAGTAAGCCTCACCAAGCCATAAACCTGTCTGTGGTTCACTTGGCTCTATCAAAACCCTAGGACTGTAAATCCCACACACACACACACATATGAAAGAAAGGCTGGTTGCGGAAACAATGAATTACATTTTATGGTGCCACCGACATCGGAGATCTCCTTTTCCTGATACCTTTATCTTTCTCACTTGAGCTCCTCGGGGCGGCACCACACACAAACACGCCGTTCACATTCTTCCTGCGATTATATTTCCCCGATAAAGTTTGCATATTTATATGCCTCTCTTGGTTCCGTTACTAGCAAAAGCATTGCGGGTTGTGTGCACTGTCTTCGGTTTCCGGCACAATATTTTAAGGATCTCCGGAAAAACCCTCAATGTGTGAATCCTTTCCCGACCCGGTTCTCGTTACCGTCTTCCACTCAAGCAAGTTGGGTCGAAACAAGACGACAGATCTATGGCAAAGTAAAATGTCGAGTTTGTACACAGTGTCTTGTTTTGCTTGGAGATCCGAAGAAAAGAAGCTTTTCCTACCAGCAGCAGTCTCAATTTGAATTTGAACAAACGGAACGGAACGGAACAGTGGAAAGCGACGACCATTTCCCATTAGTGAGTGCATGCAATATGCAGCAGCAGCAGCAGGGGAGGTTGTTGCATTATAAGGATCTCGAATGTGGTGCTCCAGGAGCTAGTCAAAGAGAATTTCCAAGTATTTCCAACTGCTGCTGCTGCTGCTGCTTTGCATGCAAACACTATTCTTGTTCAATATTTTCGTTTGGTTTGTGAGTATGTGGTCGATCCGGATGGGGAAATGGGGTCTTGTTATGCGAAGTATTTTTAAGCATTTGTTGATTTGAGCTGGCAGGCAAAATAATCAGATGCTTGTTTGAAAGAACGCTTCCTGAAACAGGACTGAAACAAATTTTGGAGACCGCTGCCTTCTCCTACTCACCCCCGTTAAACACCATGTTATTCCTGAAATGTAGGTTATTGTTTAATCCGAAAATATAATCCTATCAAAAACAACCCGTTCAACATTTTCAAGCTTGTCCAAATGAATCCGGTGCTGTGCAAATCCTTTCCTCCCTCATCCAACCCAGAAATTCACTCGTAATCACTGCAATGTATCTTCCTTATATCCTGAGCTGCCTGCTCTACGATGCTGCTGGTGCTACCACTCTTAAAACATGGACTAAACATTTGCTCTAACGATTCGGCCTTTGATTTATGGTTCCAGATTTGCAAGCCCAGGACAGCGGTTGGTATCGGTGCGTAGCCTGGACCGGACAGTCGATGGCATCCGCCTGGAGTGCGTACTTGATGGTAAGTACGGTGCGGTTCGTTTCTAGAGCTGAGCCTTATTGATGTCTTAATGAATTGTGGATTATTTGGCAAGACGGTATGAATAAATTGTCAGCTAATGAAGGGTTAGACATTTGCATTGAAGATATGCATGGCCGGACGAGGGAAATTAATCAGGAGCAATTGAATTTGTTGATCAGAATTAGATTATAATATTGTAGAAATGAGCATATTTGTTTATGGAAAAAGAGATATCAACTGAATGAGCCAAAACAAAAACAAGGAGAAATGGCTCTAAGGTTGGGCCCATCGCTAAAAATCTGCTATTTATCATTTTTATCTAGATGAACGCGTCATTGGGATGGTATAAATGGATATTTTTGGTCGATATTAAAAATTTAGTTAATTGCTGAATTTATGTATGGGCCTACATTAACGGCACATAGGCCGACATTACATCCATCTCCCCTAAATATTGCTATTTTTTTAAGATTTCGTGCGTTATGTGAACGTGCATCCATAATTTTGCATAACAAAACGGGACGTTTCTGCGATGGAAAAAAATGTGGAACCTATTCCCATCCCCCAAGTTGTCGGAACTGCTGTAGAGTACCCAAAATTTTCCAGATTCCATTGATCGGACTTAAGGATCCTGTGATTATCCTGAAATTCTTCGAACTTGCGGAGATTCTCAGTCGACGGATGGTCTCGAAGCTGCACACAATCTCTTATTATTGGTGCAGGCTGGATGAAATGTCTGCGCCTAAAACAATTCTGTGGAGCTGCTAACTCATGGAGTAATCATGAGTAACCACCATGACTGGCCTGTTCATGATGGCTTAAAACAAGCCAATTAACTTCCCCAGAAGACACTATCAGAACCCCTACGGATGATTATGTCGACTTCAAGCTTATAAGTGTTCAGTCTTCTACCGGATCCCAAAAACTTCTACTGGAGGTTCCTTCCAACACACCTTGAAAATTCGTTCCAACTTCTGGCCTCCATCGGAGGGTTTACCCACTTAACATGATTTGAAGTACAGAATAGTAGGAGATCAATAAAAAAATACCTGACATACTAGTAGTCTTGAATAATTATCCAGAGGACTTTATGCCGATCATTGATCAATTGACCGTTTTTTGAATGATTCTTGATCAACCTACTATCATCCAGAAGAATTACCAAAATATCCAGAGAACATTATGCAGTTATTTGACCAACTGAAGGACATTAGAATAATCCATGTTCAATCTGCTTTCTGAAAAATATCTGAGATTTGAATTACTGGATGCTTGAAGACCACCAGAATAAAACCTGATCGGCCTCAAGTATTGTAAAAATATACAAAGAACATGATGCAGGTCTTTGTTCATCTGATGGTCTCTGGAATAATTCCTGATCAACCTTTATGACAGTGAGTATACCGGACATGGTTTACTGAACAGTTACATATCTTCAATTCAATAGTGAAAGATAAAATTATCCAGAGAACTTTATGCAGCTTCTTGATCATCTAAAGGCCTTTGGAATAATTCCACTTTAACCTAGTTTCTTACCAGAATAGAATTAGAGACATGATTTGTTTTATTAAATAATTAGAGATCTTCAGAACACTAGGCAAAATATTATTTTTGAGCAACTTAGTATCATGACAGAAAATCTCACAGACGTGAATAGAATTGTTGGACAGAATTCATCCTGAAGTCGTGAAAAATATCCAGTAATCCTCATCAATATCCTCGATCATTTGGAATAATTTCTGAGTTAGTTGGTAAAAGAAAATATCCGAGATGTGCTTTGCATTGATGGATAGCAAGATATCTCCAGAATACCTTATTATAAAACCCCCTATAGGGGAAATGGATGTAATGTCGTCCTAAATGCCCCTAATTTGGGTCCATACATAAATTCATCCATCGACTAAATTTTCAATAGCGACCAAAAATATCCATTAGTACCGTCCCAATGACGCGTTCATCTTGATAAAATTGGTAAATAGCCGATTTTTAGCCATGTGCCCAATATTAGATCCATAGGCCAACATTAAATTCACTGAAATTCACGTTTTTAGAATTAAGCTTTTGCGTTGGCGCCGGTGGTGTAGTGGGAAGCTTTCTCACACCCCAAATGGTCTGGGTTAAATCTCAGCCGGAGTCGGTGGGATTTTTCTGAGGCAGTAAAATCGCTGGTCACGTCTTCCTTCGGAAGGGAAGTAAAGCTGTTGGTCCCGGCTCATGTGTGTTGAATGGGTGCGATATCCTACGCAGGTGTGGAAGCTGCCTTCCTGCACATTCGATTGCCATCAATGAATGGCAATCCATGCCCGTCGGTGATTGGCACTAGCTTGCAGAACAGAGACCGACGTTAAATAAAGGAAAGAAGAAGAAGAGAATCCCTCCACTGCACTTTAACTGGAAAATACCCATGAATGGGCACAATTTCACCCATTTTGAAGTAAAGTAGATTAATGGATAAACAAATTACCCATTTATGGGTAACTAATTCCCATATATGAGTAATTGTTACCCATTAGTGGGTAAACGTTACTCATTAGTAGGTATTTTTTTACCTATCTAATGTGTTAACCTACTTTACTTCAAAATGGGTTAAATTCCCAACTAACATTTTCAGCTTTATAAGCCAACTTTTCTAGCGTTGTGCTGTAAAGTAGCTGAAAAGAAGCTGCAGATACAGCAACAAGCAGAAGCTAGCAAAATATTTTTGGAGAGCGTTTACTCAACTTTTTCACAACCATTATTCAATTTACCAATCTCACTGAATAACAACAGCCAAAAAACGCTAATGTCACTTTTATACAAATACTAATCAACTTTTAACTTTTAGCTTCAAAACAAAGCTAATAAAGCGAATATATTACTTATTTGATGGCTTCTGCACAATCAATCACTCTTGCTGAATAACATAAACATCAAAAGTGTTTTTTCAACAACTAAACATCCTGTACTCAGCTAATAAACTGTGTTATCGCTACTTCGGAAGCATTTTCACAGTTAACTAGGTTTATTTTTAGACGTGTGTAGTTTTACAGCTTTCACTCTGCTCCTTTACAAAGCTGAAGTAACTAGTCGAGAAAAGTGATTCATGTGCACTATTATAAAACATCTACTCAGCGATTTTGTTGTAAAAGGGCATGTTGATTTGTTTACATCAGTTCAAAGTGTTGGCGTAGTACAGTTGGTAGTGTCAAGGTTTGCCAATGCGGTCGTCTCGAGTTCGATTCCAGGTTCCAATGCAGGGTAAATAATTTGGTGATGACTTGTAACTAATTTCGATTAATTTGATTGACAGCAAAATAAGCTCAATAAATCCCTACATAAAAAAACGTAAACAGTATTTAACCCGGCTTCAAGAGAAAGCTGTGTAGTGATTATTGGATAACCGGGAAAAGGTTGAATAAGCGCCTTTCAAGTTGACACACAACTAAACAGCAGGATAACAGCTGTATAGAAGCGTTAATGGATACGCAATAAGAGCTTGTCCCAACTGTCCCAACAACCATAATTAGCTGCCCAACTAACAATTTTCACAATGTAAACGCTTTACTCATTTAATTTATACAGTCTCAAGCTGTATTCAAACGTTATACGATATGAGGAAATCTTTACTCAACCTCTATACAAGCAAATCTGGCGAACTTAGTCAGCTACTTATGGCTGTTGGAACGGTCGGGAGAAGCTCTTATTGCATATCCATTAACGCTTCTATACAGCTGTTATCCTGCTGTTTAGTTGTGTGTGAACTTGAAAGGCGCTTATTCAACCTTTTCCCGGTTTTCCAATAATCACTACACAGCTTTCTCTTGAAGCCGGGTTAAATACTGTTTACGCTTTTTTATGAAGGAATTTATTGAGTTTATTTTGCTGTGAATCAAATTAATCGAAATTAGTTACAAATCATCACCAAATTATTTACCCTGCACCGGAACCTAGAATCGAACTGCAGAAGACCCCATTGGCAAACGTTGACACTACCAACTGTGCTACGCCAACACTTTGAACTTATGTAAACAAATCAACATTCCCTTCTACAACAAAATCGCTGAGTAGAGGCTTTATAATAGTACACATTGATCAATTTTCTCGACTAGTTATAAAAGAGCAGAGTAAAAGCTGTAAAACTGCACACGTCTAAAAATAAACCTAGTTGACTGTGAAAATGCTTCCGAATTTGCTCTAACACAGTTTATAAGCTGAGTACAGGTTGTTTAGTTGTTGAAAAAGCACTTTTGATGTTTATGTTATTCAGCAAGAGTGGTTGGTTGTGTAGAAGCCATCAAATGAGTAATATATTCACTTTGTTAGCTTTGTTTTGCAGCTACAAGTTGAAAGTTGGGTAGTGTGTGTATAGAAGTGACATTAGCGTTTATTGGCTGATGTTATTCAGTGCGAGTGACAAATTGAATAATGGTTGTGAGAAAGTTGAGTAAACGCTCTCCAAAACTATTTTGCTAGCTTTTGCTTGTAGCTGTATCTGCAGCTTCTTTTCAACTACAGTATGACCCATAAAAAAATGCGACATGGGACATTTTTTCCAATTAAATGTGATTCCTTCTAAACTGCTGATTGAAACAAATATATTTTTGCTTTCCCATGTTTATTTGACATGTTTTGAATACATTTATTCAATGTGTCCTCCCTGGTTCTCGATCACCTGCTCCAGGCGGGGTCGAAATCTGGAACACACGGTCGTAATATATGACGCTGGCATCGAGTTCCATGCCTTGCGAATGGATGACTTGAGCGAATCCACACTGGGATGGGGGGTTTCACAGGCCTTAGCCTGAACATTAGGGTGTTTCATTTTGAAAAAAGTGATGAATTTTTGATAGGCCACCCTCCAGTTCGATTCATAGCCCCAAAATATGAACCTGTGCAAAAAATGGTAAAGATTGATGAAGGTTTAGAGGTCGCGCCAATGATTTGGATTTTGTATGGAGATTTTGGTGAATTAGTATGGGAAATTATTGATTTTCGTTTACATTGCTCTAACTTTGGTTGTA